AGAGAGAGAGAGAGAGAGAGAGGAGGGGAGAGAGAAAGAGAAAGAAAAGAAAAGCCTTTTCTTATTTATTCCCTTTTTGATTTTACAGCGGAACCCTCCGATGGTGGTGGAAGATCTTTTTGAAGACATGAAAGATGGTATTAAGCTGCTTGCTCTCCTGGAGGTTCTATCTGGGCAGAAACTGGTAAGCCTTTGTTTGTTGTTTTTTTTCTCAAGACCATCCTTGTCAAATTTTTCCCATTTGGAGTTTGGCAGTTATGTGGTTGCAAGTATAAGGGGCTTTGCCCATAGAGGAGAAAGCTGTCTTATAGTCAGTAATACACAGAAAACCTAGTGGCAGTCATTTGTGGAAGCAAGGAAAATGCGGGGACATCAAAACGTTCATGGCAAAATGAAATGAGAGATAATGGAATTTCTTTAATGAAGAAATGAACAAATTTTGTGAAGCCCCTCTTAGTGTTACTTTGTTTCTTTGCACTTCTCATGGATTTAAAACATATTGAATGATAATAGCAACCCTAGGAACAAGAATAAAATACAACAACAACAAAAGAACTCCATTAGTACCTTAAGGTGGCTAACAATTGCATTTGTGTGGCACCTAGGAAGATCTGTAGTAAAATCAGTGATGGATTGCCATTTGGAAAGGATTATTAGTCCCTAGACATAACCACCACCACCACCATCTGTGTATTTATAGTTCTTCATTGAAAACTAAGCTTGAACTCAACATGATCTTTACACGCTCTTGCTCACACCCTCTGACATCATCGACTGTTGACAGCACATTCAGTGGTTTCCATGTGCAGAGAACCAGCAGAATGAAAACCATGACAGTGAGCTGCAAAAGACATTTTTCTACTTGAGAATGAAGGATTTATTTTTGTTTACCGATGCATCCTCATTTTAGAGTGGTTGGTGGTGATGGTCGTGGTAATGTGCCATGGAGTCGGTTCCGACTCATTGCAACCCTGTACAAGGTTTCTGAGGCTGTAAATCTTTACGGGAGCAGAAAGCCTCATCTTTCTCTCATGGAACAGCTGGTAGTTTCGAACTGCTGACCTTGAGGTTAGCAGCCCAATTCGCAACCACTAAGCTACCAGAGCTCCTTCTATTTTAGGTAGTGGACCAGTAAGTAGTTTGTAAACATAAATGACTAAGAATGACCGAATGAAAGGAGTTCAGGATCTTCAGAATGATGCAGAAGATGATGGATGCAGGGTTTGCAACTGAAGAGGTTCTATTATGATGATTGCATCCTGGCAAGAAGTATGCAACCATTATTTAACAAAATTGATGTTTTTAAGGAGTCTTTCTGCCTGAGTATACATTTCCATGTACTTTTTTTTTGCAAGAAATTCTCAAAATAACTTTTTGAAATGGGTTGTTTGGTGGCAAGTCAAAATGGAGAATACGTTTGTGTATATCACATGTCTATTTGACTCATATCGCAGCAGATATGTAGCGCAGATGTTGTTGGGCAGACGTTGTGTCTGTGGTTCCCCTCTGCATTCAGCTATAAGAGTGGCAGACGTTTCCTGTAAACCTGACAGCATCTCACCTCAAGTGCTGGGCAGCTTGCTCTCTGGGTTTCTGCCTCAGAATTGTCATCAAAGCCACAAGTCCAGGCAGCGCTAAAGTCTGGGAGAGTTAATGGTCCCAAAGGAACGGTCAACTGATGCAGTACCCAATCATGAACACATGCCTCAGCCGCTGGTTTATAGGAGAGGCAATTCTAAGATACCTATTTTCACATGCTTCATGGAGTCCTGGTCAGTTTGAACCACAAGGTTGGTGGTTCAAGCTCACCAGCCACTCCTTGGAAACCCTATGCAGGGTTGCTATGGGTTGGAACTGACTCGATGGCACATGACAACAACAACAGAGTGTTTCTTAGAGACTTTCCAGCTGGAGTGTGTCCCAGTAGCCTCCAGTGATTCCCAGCTCAGTAGCTTACCCTTGTGGATCTTCCTCCTTCCGTGCCTCATTCGACTTTCATCCTCATGCCTGCTGCCTGAAATCACTTCCCCACCCAACTCTGTGCATCTAAATCCTTGACTTAGGCACAGCTTTCGGGAAACTCAGAGATTTACATGAAGAGTCATTTTGGAAAAATACACATGTGGTGGAGTCCTGGTGTGGTGCTGTAGGATAAGCACTAGACTGCTAACCACAAGGTTGGTGGCTCAGAAGTCCTATACAAGGTCACTATGAGTCAGAACCAACTCAGTGGCACTTAACAACAACACACAATGGCAAATAGTCAGAATCAGCAATAGGATGTAGGGGTCATTGGGTTGAAATACATACACCCTTGATTGTAAGATACAACTGGTCGCCTTTACATTTCTTACTGAATTAAGCTATTTACTTGAAAATTGAAGGTGACTTCATTCCAATTTAAATCCGTATTTTAGAATGGTATCTATCATTCTAAGTGGCAATATAATTCTGCCATTGTACTTGTCCAACAGTGTACAAATAGCAGTTTTTATTTATTGTTATTCAAGATTCTATATTATATAACATGAAATTGTCCAGAAATTATAAACAAGCCTTGGCAATAATATTTAAAGTGTTTATACTTGTGCATTATAATGCAGCACCACAATAAGATGAAAAGCATCCTGCAAAGGAATGAGTATTCTAGGAATTCTTTAAGAGCTTTTCAAAGGGAGGATGTGGGCAAAAGTGTTTCCCTTAGGAATGTTCAAGACTTCTACAATTACGTCATGGAGAGAACACTATTAAGGACTTAGTGCCTTTGTTCACATACCCAGAACCCTGGGTCTGACCATGCTTATCTAGAATGTGTGGCTCTTTACTTCCAGCATCTCAGGGTAAGGATGCAGTCTCAATACCCTAGGCCTCTTTGGTAGCCTGTTATGATGCTCTGATTTTTTAAAAAGAATGTTTGCTTTTAAAATAAGGAGCTCTGGTAGTGTAGTGGTTATGAATCAGGCTGCGAACCGCAAAGTCAGCAGTTCGAAACTACCAGCTGTTCCTTGGGAGAAAGATGAGGCTTTCTGCTCCCATAAAGATTTACAGCCTCGGAAATCCTGTTCAGGATTGCTATGAGTTGGAACCGACTCTACGGCACTTAACAACATTCTTGAATTTCTCAATTTCCATTGATTGTTTTTATGATTTTGAACATTTACTCTTTAAATGTATCAAACAACACCAACAAAACCCACGATCATCAAGCCCAGCTCACAGTGCCCTAATGAACAGGGTCACTCTGGGTTTCCAAGGCTGTAATATTTACAGAAACAAACTGCCACATCTTTCTCCCATAGAGCAGCTGGTGGATTTGAACCCTAACCTTTTGGTTAGCAAGTAAGTACGTAACCATTGTGTCACCAAGATTCCTTGATAACAACCAAGATAAATGACATATGGTCTTGTGCCTTCAGAGAGCTTGCAGTCCAATAGAGAATCCATTTGTATTAGTCAGGGCAGGTCCATTTGTGTTAAAATTGGTATAAATATGTGATGATCTGAAACAGTAGAGGGGTATAGCTTAGTTACTTATCTAGCACATGTCTGAAGAAGAAAAGCAGAGAGAAAATAACCTCTCCTACTAAACTTTGTAAAATGAAGCTTTACTACTTAACTGGGAGGGAAAGATGGGGCTTTCTGCTCCCCCAAAGATGTATACCATAAGCAAAGTTGAATCCTTTGCATATCACAGGTTGTTAATGAGTCTTCCTCCAATACTGATGCCACATTCTTCTTCATAGAACCCAGTTTCTTAAATTATGTGCTCAGCATACAGATTGATTAAATATAGTGAAAAAATACAACCCTGGTGCACACCTTTCCTGATTTTAAACCATTCAGTGCTCCCTTGTTCTGTTAGAGCATCTGCCTATTGAGCTAAACACAAGCTCTTCATTTAAGTGTTCTGGAATACTCATTCTCCTTAACGTTGTCTAGATTTTGTCACGATCCACGTATTTGAAAGCCTTGGCATAGACACTAAAGCACAGGTATACATCTTTCTGGTATTCTCTACTTGCAGCCAAGATCCATCTGATGTCAGCAGTGATATCTCTCATTCCACGTCCTTGTCTGAACCTGGCTTCAATCTCTGGGAGTTCCCTGTGAATGCACTATTGCCATTTTTCAATTATCTTTAGAAAAATTTTCTATTTAAATTTATTGGCCTGGTCTTCCAGATTTCTTGGCACAGACGAGTGATTGCCTCCAGTGCTGCATCAGTTTGTTTAATTATCTCAATTTGTATTCCATCGCTTGTGGACCTTGTTCTTTGACAGTGCCTTCAGTGCACATTAGACTTCTTCCATCAGTACCACTGGCTCTTGATCATGTGCCTCGTCTCGAAATGGTTGGGCATTGACCATTTCTTTTTGGTATAGTGACTCTGTGTATTCCTTCCATATTTGTTTGATGATTTCTGAATCATCCAAAAATTTGCTCATAGAGTAAATTTTTCAGTATGGCAAGTCGAGGTTTGAAATTTTTCTCAACTCTTTCAGCTTGAGAAATCCTGAGCATGTTCTTTCCTTTTGGTTTTCTAACTCCAGATCTTTGCACATTTTGTCATAATATTTGACTTTGCCTACTCCAGCTGACATTTAAATTTTTTATGTTCAGCCCTTTTACCTTTTCATTTATTCAATTTGCTTTAGCATCTCTACACTGGGGAGTGTCAGAGCCTCTTCAGACATCCATCTTGGTTGTTTCCTTCTTTCTGTCTTCTTAATGACCTTTTGTTATCTTACTGTATGATGTTCTTGGTGTCATCCCACATGTCTTCTGGTTTCTTGTTACTTATTTGCATCAAATCTGTTTTTGAGATGATCTCTAAATTCAGATGAGATGTGATCAAGGTCATATTTTTGCTCTTGTGGACTTGTTTTAATTTTATTCAACTTCAGCCTAAACTTGCTTATGAGCAATTGATGATCTGTTCTACATTTAGCCCCTGGCCTTCTTTTGGCTGATGATATGTTGCTTTTCCCTCATCTCTTTCTACAAATGTAGTCAATTTGATTTCTTTGTATTACAGCTGGTGAGGTCCATGTGTATACTTGTCTTTTATGTTGTTTAAAAAAGGCATTTGCAATGAAAACATGATTGGTCTTGAAAAAATGAATAAAAGAGATGATGTGATTTCTAGAATAATTTCTATCACCAAAGTTATATTTTGCAATGACTGAATCTTCCTCTTTGTTTTCCTACCTTTGAATACCAATTAACAGTAATTCCCAATACTTCTAGATTGCATTTTTGAGCAATTTCAAACTGAAGACGTTGGTAGCATCCATAAATAGACCAAGATACATATATAAAGGCAAAGATGAGATTTGGCAGCTGAAGGAATAGAACTGAAAAAAACACACACAACTGTATCCTAATAGAAAAAGATGAACTTTGAGTCTTATCACATGGTACATAAAAAGTTTAAAATGTGAGGGGCCTTCAAAAAATTCTTAGAAATTTTCCATTATATTTTTTTTTTAAGGTTTTTATTGAGAATTGAGTGATATTTTGCATGGGAGATTATGGGTTTTACACTCATCAGATCGTATTTTGTTTCATTGCAATGATTACAATCCTCTCTGTTCATCATCTTTCAACAGTATTTGCTTCTATTCCTTCTTTTTACTTGTTTATTTGTTTTTTTTGGGAATGTACACAAAAACACTCAGGAATATATAATCATATGAACAACCAAAGGGCACATTCTGCAAGTTTGCCTCCTGGCTGCCAGCACACAGCCTTTCTCTTTCCATGAGTCTAGCATCCTCAGCTATTCTATCTCTCCATGTTCTCATCTCTGCCTGCGTTTCTGGCATTGCTGTTTCTCTGAATAGAGTCCCACATTCCGCTCATGCTCTTCTCCCTTGATGATCCTAGTTCTCTGTTCCTGGATTGTAAGATTAACCACTTCCCCCTTTAAGTTACAAAACTTCTACCTTTACAAGTGTAACAATCTCAATTAGTCAATCATAACAATTACTCACTGTTGAATCATACGAATCTTATCCCTATCTCTTTTCACCAGCCCCATCTAGGCAAGATGAAAACTATTCAGTGGGGATTCTGCCTTCCCCCCACACACTCTGAAACTAAACTCCCTCTTGAAAACTTGAAAACCAGTCACTTCGTGCCTTTATTGCCCCACCATTTTAGGTATCCAGTGTATAAATTGCCCGTCCCTATCTACCCTGTGTACAGAGGGGATAGCATTGATATTTGATGTGAAGACTCCTCTCTGAGTAGGTATTTTGAGCTACTACATCACAGGAGCTCTGGTAGCGTAGTGGTTACGAATCGGGCTGCGAACCTTAAGGTCAGCGGTTCAAAACTACCAGCTGCTCCGCGGGAGAAAGATGAGGCTTTCTACTCCCGTAAAGATTTACACCCTCGGAAACCCTATACAGGGTCGCTATGGGTCGGAACCGACTCGACGGCACTTAACAACAACAACAACATCCCTAAGTATAGGTCACATCCATCATTTTGTAGCAATTTACATTTTTTGCCTTTATCAAATTTCTTTATCTTCTTCTAGTAGACTTGTGATCATCAAGCCATCAAAGCTAGGTCAAATGGGTACTATCTGCAGGTTTGGGCATTCTTGTGTGTCTCCCCTCATTTCATATCAGCTTGATGCTTCACTCTCAGTTCTAGCCCTCTGAGGCTATGTCCTTGTCCATGGGCTCAGGAGCCCCCAGTCTCATCATACTTTGGACCAACCTGTACTTCCTCTTTTCTCTCTCATCTCCAGGTTGACAGTGGTCTGTGGAATGTGGTCAAACTCAGCCCATATCTTCATTGCTGCCTCTCCCCAACTTCCACTCACCAGTAGAGCAGCATGGTCACCAGCAAGCCTATATGCCTGCTCATGTGTTCCTTTTGAGTTTCCGTCTGGAGGAGGGTTTGTCCTGAGGGACATGATTGCTTGCCTTGATGGCTGTCTGGCAAACAACTTACTTGTCCTTGTAGTAGAAGTTCCATTATCTTCTAATTCCTTTTTCCCATGAACTTTTTGAAGCTACTGTTCACATGGATTAAAGACTTAATGCCAAGACCAAAATTTAAACTTTTGTTAGAAATTATTAATGACTATCTTTTAGAACTAAGGTTAGAAAAAACTATTCAGTAAGTCACAAAAAGCATTAACTATGAAACAAAAGATTAATATATTTGACTGTATTAAAATTTAAAATATTTAAAGGAAGTGATAGAGGAAGTTACAAATTGATTGAGCGTAGTAAAAATTCATGTTAAAGTTTTATGAAAATATTATATCAAGAATACATAAAGCACGTCTACAAAACATTAGTAATACCAAGAATCCAATAGAAAAATGTTTCCAGAGACTTAAAGAGGTATTTTACCAAAGAAACATACATTTTCCATGACAGAAAAAGAGATGTTCAGGTAACCGTTGCTAAGACCGTTAAAATACCACTTTATATGCATTTGATTCCATTTGGAAAAAGATGTGACTATCAAATGTTGAACAGGATATAGGATTAGTTTTGCATTGCTGATGAGTGAAAGGTTTGACCCTAGTTTGGAAGTTCAAATGTCACATTCTTTCTGACTCAGCAACTCCATTCCTATGAATAAAGAGAAACTTTATACTTTATTTTTTGTACAAAATTAAGTAACAAAATTAAGTACAAAATTAAGTAACAAAATTTATTTATTACAATGATCAAACAAGCATAGGTTAAAAGAGCAAAAATCTGGAATGAACCAATTTTTAAATCAGAAGGAGAGTGGTAAATGAAGAATTATATCACTGTAAAATTGAATGAAATACAGTGGCAGGCACCAGTATGGATAAATCTTAGCATAATATTACATGAAAAGATGAGTCTCAGAGAATTAATAATGATACCTTCCTGGTGTGACAATGTAGGATAAACACTGGACTTCAAATCACAATGTTGATGGTTCAAACCCACCAGCTGCTCCTCAGAAACCCTAAACTGAGTTGCTTTGAGTTGGAACCAACTCGATGGCACTGAACAACAACAAAATATTTACAGGAGCAGAAAGCCTCATGGATCTCCCATGGATCAGTTGGTGGGTTTGAACTACTGACCTGTGGTTAGCTGTCTAGTAATTCACATACCAGAACATACTGTTGTGTGAAGAGCATTTTCATTCTCACAATCCTTTTACCTAACCTTGGGTCATTGTTGTTGTTGTTAGGTGCCATATATTTTGATTGTTTGAATCTAGGAATGTTACTGATACTGTCTCTTTCCTTGCATGTTGCTATAGCTTAAAAAAGATAATAATGATGAGTGATTAAGAGTACTTGTCATATAAATATTTCCTAATTTATAGTCTTGATAGCCTTAATATTCAACATAGGAGTTTTGTGAATTTTTGCTCTTAGGTATGTTGCTGTTGTTAAGTGCTATTGAGTCAGTTTCATCTCATAGAGACTTTGTATAGCGTTTCTAAAGAAAAAGACAAATACATTAACAGATAAGCTTAGAACGAATGTCTTTATTGAATAAATTAGTTCATCTATAGAATGCTGTACAGAACTCTGGAAGCGTTGTGGTTACAAATCTGGCTGCTAACCTCAAGGTCAGCAGTTCAAAACAACCAGCTGTTCCACGGGAGAAAGATGAGGCTTCCTGCTCCTGTAAAGTTGTACAGCCTCAGAAACCTTGTACAGGGTCACTATGAGTCAGAACCAACTCCACAGCACACCTCCACCATAGAATGCTGTACACTTATTTCTGTGTATTAGCTAACCGTCTTACAAAGCGAGTAATGCTGGTTATTCCTGGATATTCTTCAATTGTACTCTTAATTCGCTTAGGTGTAATTTAGAATTGTCTGTTTAACGTGTGCACTGGCCTGTCCTTTTCACAGCCTTTGGAACAAGGACGCCGTATGAAACGAATCCATGCCGTGGCGAACATCGGCACAGCACTCAAGTTCCTCGAGGGGAGGAAGGTAAAAGATGAGACATAAAAAGAACAAGAATTTACAGAAGACATGGACAGTCCCGTGGTTTAAATATTGCCTCTGGGGAGCAAAGCCCTGCATATAAACAGTAGACTGCACACATAAATATGGTGAAATAAATTTTAGATTTTTACAGTAAAGTTGGAGAAAAAAACGATTTCATATTATACTTCACCCAGTTTCCCCTAATATTAAGAACTTATGTAACCATAAGTTACATAATCAACATCAGGAATTTAAATAGATATGGTGCTGTTAACTAAAAAGTCAGACATTAGTCGAATTTCATTATATTCCCCCTATGAAATGCCTTATTTCTGGTCCAGGGTCATTTCCAAGATTGTTCTTTAAATTTAATTGTTGTCTCTTAGTCTCTTCTGTTTGGATAGTTCTTCATTCTTTCCTAATGACCTTGAAACTTTTGATAAGTGCGAGTGAGTTAATTTGCAGAATGTCAACCTCTCAATTTGGGTTTATATGATGCTTTTCTTATGAGATGATGCCTCTATAGTAAACAAAACAAAACAAAACAAAAACCCTCCAAGGCAGTGATTATCGTGTCCTCGGTGTAATACATTATTGGAGATATGATGTTGGTACATCTCACACCGAGTTAGATTCATCTTGACTACTTGGTTAAGGGTGATAGCTGCCTTTTCACTCTATGGGACAGTGTCTATTTCTCCCTTTCTACTCGGTAAATATCTTAGCGAGAGATACTCGAGACTATTCTAGTATTCCACTTCTCCTCGATCGGATTTTAACATTGATCAGAGGTTATTGTTTTCAACGATTATTACTATGCTGTTTACATAATGGTATTTCCCTCTTTCTTTCTATATTTGTTAGTTGGAATTCTTTTATAACAAGAGGTGTCTCTCCTTCCCCATTTGTTTACTTATTGAATTAGTATGGATTCATATATATGTATTTCATACTGTAATACTATTATTATTACTATGACATTGTTGTCCACATTGTCTTAACTTTGGCCATTAAGTGCTCCCCCAGGTTGGCTCCTGTACCCATTTGACATGACCACATATTTGTCAAGCACTTCCTTAATTGTCGTGATCTCCAGATTTCCCACACTTCCACCTTACATTTCAGTTATGGAGTTAAACACTTCTCCAAGGAGCCTGGGTTCCTTTGACTGGAGAATGGTACTTAGAACCAAGGTCTGTACATTAGGGATGCCCATTGTGCCTGGATACTAGGCAGTCATTGCTCCTGGCCTTCTAGTGAATATGTACGTACACAGATTAGGCTTATCTAGGTCTCTGGGTGAGACAAATGATTCTATCCTCAACTGGTAACTGAAACATTGGCAACTGGAATGCCCCAGAAGCACTGGGAAGAAAAATCCTGGTGATCTGCAGAAGTACCCTGGCACTGACGAGGTCGCCATGAGTGAAAATTGAGGTTTAGGGTACAAGAAAACAATAGACATCTTTATCTGTCTATCTATCCATCTGTCTATCTAACTACCTATCTACTGACTTTACCTATCTACCAAATACCTATCTCTGTATCTATCTGTCTATCTAACTACCTATCTACTGACTTTACCTATCTACAAAATACCTATCTCTGTATCTATCTGTCTATCTGTCTATCTATCTATCTATCTATCTATCTATCTATCTATCTATCTATCAATTTATCCTCTCCCGTTGGTTCAACTTGACCCCTCTGATTCCAATACAACTTCATAAGGGCCGTTCTATTCTTCCCCATTTCTTATTTGTTTCTATTTTCTCTGATGGCGAGAAGAAATCTGAATCTTATTATCTATGCTATATTCAAGGAGCTCTGGTAGCATGATGTTTACGAGTTGGGCTGTTAACCTTTAGAGCCTCAGAAACCCTCTGGTGGTAGTGGTGATGATGATGTGCCGTGGAGTCAGTTCTGATTCGTAGTCACCCTGTATTGGGTTTCTGAGGCTGTAAATCCTTAAGGGAGCAGAAAGCCTCATCTTTCTCAACTTGTAACCACTACATTACCAGAGCTATGAGTCAGAACAAACTCTACGGTACATCACCACCACCACACTATATTCACTTACTTATTCAACCCTAAAGTATACATGAACTCCTGATATGGTGCTGTAGTAACAGAACTGGACTACAAGCCACAAGGGTGGCTGTTCAAACCCACCAGCTGCTCCTTGAGAACTCTATACAGGTTCACTATGAGTTGGAACAGACTTGATGGTACTTACCAACAACAACAACAACAACAACAACAACAAGCATGCATGTAAAGGGAGCCCTGGCATGGCAGTGGCTAAGAACTCCACTTCTAACCAAAAGGTCAGCAGTTTCAATTCACCCAGTGATTCCACAGGAGAAAAGACCTGATGAGCTATGCTGATAAAGATTACAGTTTAGGGAACCCTATTGGACAGTTCTGCCCTTTCACGTATGGTTGCTGTGAGTCAGAGTTCACTCAGTGGCACTGAACGATAACAAAGTATGCACATAAAGTAGGTTCAGAAACAGATTATTCCTGTAAGAAACATTATTCACTAGAATACAATATTTATGTATAATTCCTTTTATCTTTGGCATTATAGTATCTAGTCAAAAACACTGTTCAACTGTTCAACTCAATTCAGAGGCACCTCAGAAAAAAGGCCTGAGCATCCATTTCTGAAAATCGTCCATGGAAAGTCTGTGGAGCAGAATTCTACTCCAACAGACATGGCGTCCCCAGAAGTTGCAATTGACTTAAGAGCACTTAACGTTCACCTCAGTGTCCTTGGCCATTAAAAATGTATTATAGATTCAATGGTATTTTGAAATGGTGAGAAGGTAAAACTCTGGGATCAGTAAACCAGTTGTGAAGCATAGATTTAGGATATAAAACTATTATGAAGAAACACTTCTCTTCAAAAACTGAACAAAAGATTTCTTGGGTTCTGTATAATAAGTTGAATGAAATAGCAAGAGATGGGTGGAGGTAGGACAGTCAAGTTACAGTCAATTGCTGTTTTGAAAAGAATCATGTACAAGGAAAGGAGAGCCATCTGCTTCTTGGAGTGCATGAATTAGATAGCAATAACATATACCATCAGTTTGTGGTTGGGAGATAATAAGATGAGTGTGGAGAAAATTCTGAGGAAGGTGTAAACAGCACAGTCAAAATTATTATAGAGGTTGTATTTGGTTCTATCATAAATGACTAAAGGATTTTGGTGTTCTTGATTTTCCACAAACATGAGTTATATGCCTTGCACTGTTGTTGTTGTTGTTGTTAAGTGCCGTCGAGTCGGTTCCGACCCATAGCGACCCTGTACAGGGTTTCCGAGGGTGTGTAAATCTTTACGGGAGTAGAAAGCCTCATCTTTCTCCCGCGGAGTGGCTGGTAGTTTCGAACCGCTGATCTTAAGGTTC